GCAGGTGGTCTTTGATAGCAGGGAGATTACCAGGGAGATCAGATAACGAGATCAAGAACTACTGGAATTCTCATTTGAGCAAGAAAGTGAACCAGAACGAGAAACAAAGTGGAGCTTCGGCAAGACAAGGCTGCAAATCTCAAAAGAGACTGGTGGAGAATGCCAAAGAACAGGGTAGAGAAGAGAATACATCTGCAGGATGCGAGGACTCGAATATCGACTTCGACATGGATGAGTTCTTCGATTTCTCCAACGATAACACCTTCAACGTGGAGTGGGTAAGCAGATTTCTCCAAGTTGATGAGGGCTTTAACTGAAACTTTATGGAACGGCAGCAACAACTTTTGTCTTTTTAATTTCCTATGATCATGATTCGGGAATTTGATGCAATCCGTGTTAATCTGTAAAGCCTTGTTATCCGTCAATGAATCGGGCAGCATTCAGGTAATTGTGTCAGCTATATATCCTAGTTGCTCAAAAAGTGACCACAGACTACAGCGCAGACGGTCGTGATTGGTGTTAATCAGTATATCAAAAAGTAAAACAAAATAGGAGAAAACAGAAAGGAGATTCGTAAGGCAACTGAGGAATACAGGAAAACAACTAACTATAAACATATTAAACAACATGATCTTTCATCAATGACGAAGACTGTATTGTCTTGTTTTAAGCATATTCCCCCACTTTCTTAAAAGGGGTGCAGCTTTAGAGCAAGGTGAGTACATATATAGCCTTAAAATGTCCGGAAAGAAACAGTCCTGCGGCGACTTAAACCCCGTGGTGCGGTGGGAAATCATTGTCCTATTATTTCCATTCCAATCTTCTGAAAAATACTCATCACTTTGTCTCTTCTCGAGTCCTATTTTGATGCCATGTGAATTCAGATTCTAATTCAGTCAAATGACAAAACGCTGCGGTGAACAGGGTCAACTTAAGAGAGATATTATGACAAATGAAGGCTAGTAGGCCCATTTAGCCGGTCGGTGTTTGCATTAGATGCTTCACCGGCCCTATATTGAGCCTACATTTTGATAGCCAAGCCCAGACCCGTTAATACATTAAAACCTTTTTTCTGTCGTCACCTTTACAATACAATTTTTTTAATAAAATATATTGAATTATAAAAAGTCTCAAAAATAATAATTTCATCACAAATAAATTATTAAATTAAATTGATATTTTATCATAATTAATTTATTTTATTTTAAATTCTTTTTATATATTATTTATTCTAACTTTTTAAAATATAGTCATACTTTTCATTAACCAAAATTAGCATCATAAACAATTACATTAGCAAGATAAACAGGAAAAACAGAATCAAAACATAAATGACATGAAAGAGTTATAGTATTAATAATATTTTAATTTAGTTAAAATAAGTTTATTTTTTAAAAATATAACCAAAAATTAAAATAAACTCATTAACATGGTAATTTGTTTTTTTTTTAATTTGTCCACTTAATCTGTCTACTACTTCTACAGTTCTACTTATTTAATTGTAGTAATTATTTTCATTCAAGTGTTATTATATTATATTTGGCAAATCAATTACTCCTACATGCTAAAATGTACTGCAGCAGCCAGCGGTCGAGTTAAACAAGGTGAGGATATTAAAAAAAAAACCGAAAAATTTAGGGACGTTTGGGTAAAAAAAATCGTTATTAAGAGAAATAAATTTTTTTAGAATCATATAATTACGTTTGGTTCAAAAATATTTCTATCAGGAGGTAATAAAAATATTACCTTCAGTGCTTTTTTTACCTTGTATTCTTGAGTAGGGGTGTGTAAAATTATCCGACCCGGTTGACCCGATCCGTCGACCCGGATCTAAAAAAACCAGGTAATTCTTTAAAAAAAAATTATCTGGCCGGGTCGGGTACCCGGCCCGACATTTCCCGGGTCGGGCCCGGGTCACAAAATCTATTTTTTTCGGGTACCCAGTTACCCGTGTACTCGGTTAGTTTTTATTTATTTTTTATTTTTTTATATATAATTATATAAAATATAATGAATTATTTATATTATGGATTATTATATTTTGTATTTTGAACTTTTAAATTTTATGTTCGGATATTAGAGTATGTAATTCGAAGTTTCGAACATTTAAATTTGTGTATATATTTTTTAAAATTAATAATTTGAAAATAAAAAATTAAAAACCGGGTATCGGGTACCCGTAAAATCCAGGTACCCGTAACATTCGGGTCAGGACACGGGCCGAGAAATCGTCGACCCAGAAGTTCCGGGTACCCGGAAATCAGATACCCGAAAATCAGGGTACCCGGATTTGCACACCCCTATTTCTCTTATTTTCTTAAGTATCAGACAATTTTTTTCTTTTAGATGATAATACCTCTGAATAATATAATTATTTCAAAACGAATCATCCTTTTGTATATAATTATATGAGTATAAATCTATTTTATTTTTTAATGATTTATGAATTTTTTAATACTTATTATAAAATAATATGATGCATATAAAAAAATAAGAATTTTTATTTTGATTTGAATATTTTTGCGCATGTATTCGATTTAAATTTTATTTTTCATTTATATTTTATTACATATATTGTTTAGGATTAATTTTCATAAAAGATTTTTATATCATGTTTTTTTAATATTTTCTATTATTTGTGTCATATAATTTGATATGATGTTTTATTGTGCAACTCATACATATAGCATAAATAAAAAAGTGTAGCAACTAACATATACTCACATTGATTAAAAATAAATACATACTTACACCAGTGTATGTACATCTCTCAATGTTTTAATACTTATAATAAACATATAATTATATTGGTGTAAATATATTTTAATATTTTTAAAGAAATAAATAATTAACAATAAAAAATATATTAAGTTATTTGTTACAAATTTTATTAAAAATATTAAAACTATAAATAATATTAATTTATATGAACTTTCACGTAAATATTTTAACTTTAATAATGAGAATTCAATTTGTCAAAAAAGAAAATATATCTAAAAAATAATTTAATAAAACATATATTTTTTATGTCTTATATTCTTTTAACTAAATATTATAATCTTGTGATACATATCAAATAAATCAAACAAAATAATATACTATTATGACAAATTTATTCTGGAAAATAATTTAATATTCTATGGATCTAACTATACTTTAAAGGGGCGTTTGGTTCAGGGTATATCACATTACCGGGGAAATAGAATATCATTATCTCGTTTGGTTGACAAACATCCCCGACCCCAGTAATAAGTTATTCCCAACAGTGATATTTTGGGGGTATATTACCGGGAATGTGAATACATCTTTCTTTAGGTATTATTACATTCTTGGCATTTTGGACTAAAATGCCCTTAAATTTTTTTCTTTCAAAAATATCATTCTTCTGTCGTTGAGTAAAAAAAAATTATACGAATGTTAAATTACAAATTTATCCTTAAACTATTTTAGATTTACAAAAAAGTCCATAACTAGAATTTTATATGAAGTTCAAAGGTTAAAATAAAATTTTATCCTTTCATTCAACCTATTTATCTTTTCAATTTTATAAAAAAAATATAAATTTTATGAATTTAAAATTTTTAAAGAAAATATATAAATTAATTATAGTAATATTATAGTAGAATTTAATTTATTAAAAAATTAATATATAATAAAGATAATTTAGTAAAATATATATTCTAATAATTTTTTATTTTTTTAACTAAACTATGTAATCTTATATTTCTACTAAACGAATCTAATATAAAATTTAATATTTTTAATAATTTTATTTCTGTCGATAATATTATTTCTGTCGGTAATTTTATTCTTCTAAGTAATTTTATATTCCGTGAACGGAAAAGATTATGCCAGACTGCCTACCTAAGGCTTGCCTGTCTTTAAAATCTAGAGAAATAGACAAAAGAGGAGGAGAGAGAGGGCGCTTGACTGTCTTTAAAAGTAAGAGGGAAAGCAACAAAAACGTTAATAGTTGTGTCTGTAATTACTAATTAGAGCATGTCAATCAAAAACCTTTCATTCTTTCTTCCTCGGTTTCATGATTTCAGGGCCTCTATGTGTTGAATTGAACTGAGTCTAATCTAACCATTTCTCTCTCGCTCAGCCATCTCCAGAAACATAACAATTATCCGTTCCGATATTTTCTTTATTTCTGGTCAGAGGAAAAATAAATCCAAATCCCATATTTTTGCTGAAAATAATTTCCAATCCTTCCTGTTGTCTTCTCGCTCGACATGTCTTGTGGTTTCAAGGTAAGAAATGGAAAATGCAAATCAACCCAGATTTTGTTATGCCATACTTGGGCTGTTTTAGTGGTATTTTTTTATTGATAAAATAACTATACATTTATTTACCTGCTTTTTAAGTTATTTTTCCCTTTTCATCGTTTTTGAGGGAAATGAGCGTCTCTTTGCAACTCTATATTTGGAACAACAGCCAAAGGAATTGCTTCCGGGTTCCTTACTCTTCCATTTTTAAAACCAAAATTTGTTTTTTTCCTGTCTCCATTCCATCTTAATTTTAATGATGTCTTCCTAGATTTGGTATATGATTTTGTAGGGGGATTGATTTAAAAAGTTGCTTTTTATGGGCAAAGCAGTGTTTTCCCCCTTTTCAAACACAAAACTAAAACCATTTTTTCTGCTTAATGCCTTGTCTGTTAGAAATGCAAAGGAAAATCTTTAAGCAGTAATTTTATCTAAGCAAAACTGTTAAAATCTTTGACCCAACTTCCTCCGGTGAGATGTTCTGCCTCCTATAATACAAATTAGAAATCTATTATCTTTAAACTTTGGTTTATCTTTCTTTTGCTTTCATTTTCTTCAAACCAAATAGAGACCATATCGTTCAATTCCTTTCCATGTTGCATTTTATTATTTTCTTGCAATAATGAGTGCCACTATAACATTTTTCCTTTCATATGTCCTAATCGGATGTGCATTATTACTGTTGTTGTTAGGCAGGAATAAGTCTGGTCTTTGATTGAACTGAACTGTGGAATGGAAGGTGGTACATATCCAGGGTTTGGCAATGGAACTGAAGTGGATGGCAAAGTTCTGCAGACATTCCAAAAGAGTTTTGTGCAAGTTCAAGACATACTAGACCAAAACAGGCTGCTAATCAACCAGATTAACCAAAACCATGAGTCAAAGATCCCAGATAACCTAGGCCGGAATGTCGGGTTAATTAAAGAGTTGAACAATAATATTAGAAGAGTAGCCAATCTCTACGCCGATCTGTCCAGCTCGTTCAGCAGATCGATGGAGGTTTCATCCGAAGACGATTCGGCCCGGACATATGAACCTGATGGAAAAGCTAGTCAGAAGAGAATTAGATCTGGGTAAATTTGATCAAGCTAAGCCTTTTGTTATAAAATTGTATTATCTTTCACTGTGGAATAAGGGGAGCATTTTGATATTGTAGTAAAAGAAATGAAAGATTGATAGTAAATGAAATGTGTCTGAGATATTGAAGTTTGAACATAATCCTCACACCCCCACTTTTTAGATTGAAACAACATCCTATAAAAATTTACCATTGTAGTGATGTACAACTATGCTATATTGTCTGAAATCAAAGCATTACTTGTTTAAAATCAGTGGATTTTCTTCCCTTTTTTTGTTAAATAAATGAGACATTAATCTTATATGTACTTGGGCTGCATTTTTAATTGTATGTTTAATGAGGCTAGTGTGATTGCTTAACCGTCTAGACACAGTTCTAAAAGCATTTTCTAGTTTCCAATGATCTTTTATTTTCATCTGTTAAGAGAGTTATCTGCCTTTGATGGAAACTTTCAACAATCACACTTTATTCTCCTCCCATGTTTGTCAAAAGAGATTCTTGATTGCTTCTGGAAGATTGCAAGTAAAGGGTTGGTGTCTACTGTTTTTATAACCCCGTTTTTGGTAGGTTCTTTAAGTTTAGATTCATGATTCTCTTCTATGGATACTCGTACTTCTCATTAGCACTTGTATTTAACATTTATGTCCAGGTCATAAATGACATAGTAAATGTGAAAAACTCCCTTTTTTTACTGGCATCTTCAATGGTTCATAAGTTAAAAGTAGATTTTATAGTTTTGGACTAAAAGGGTGGAGATCAATTATGATTTTTGTGACAGCAAGGACAAAACCAGACGGAAACTGTCTGAATCATGTGATCATAATAGATGAATCTGATACTATACAACTTATTTGAATTAGCTTCTTCATAACAATAATGGATTTAGCCTTTCTGGTCATATTTAAAAGAAGGGTGGGGGGGTAGATAGTGGATCACAGATGTTATCTTTATTCCTAAACCATAAATTACTACATGTGGGACTAATCTATATTTAAAAGGAAAATTAGGCTGATTAGCACTCAATAGATTATATTCCGAAGATAACATAGTTTTCTAATTTTTCTGCTTTGTAAAAGAGAACAAAAGGAATCTAAGGGTTTTTTTTTTTGTTTTGGAAATGATAGAATGCGAGAAGAGATGGGAAAAAGTCTTTATATATATATATATATTATCACGGGGTTCATGATTCTTTGTTTTGGAAGTGCTGGCCATGTTATGCATAGTATATATTAATCATAATCCGGTTCGCTTAAGCTGGATTTTTTATTAAACAATAAAAGTTTAATCTTCAAATAACAATTGAAGATGTATGGGGTACGGACAAGTCAACTCTCCACATGAAGTGGAGAAATCTCACAATAAAGAATGTAAGATTGTGTCCGTACTCCATTGTATCCTTTTTATGTTTATGTTCTCTTCCATTTTTTAGTTATTTTTTGCACTAAAAGAAGAGATCATATTCGTTAAACGTTGGCATGTTATAGTATTGGAAGCGGATAAGTTTTTTAATAATATTTAAAGCAATTCTTTAACGTTTAGATCTACCCCAGTTCATGTCCATTGCTGCCCCAACATCATGCTTTCAGTTTTGTTTTATCATGCAACAACCCCTCGCATATGGACTGTATCTACTATTTCAACACCCCAGAAGAATTTCTAAACTGAAACTTGAATTGAAAAATCTCATAGAGAATCTTTGTGGAGAAAAGAAGCATATTTCCTTTAAATCTTAAGTTTCAAGCTTAAAGTTGTAGCAGAAAAATGAAAAACATGTTGAAACATGAACCTCTCATGAAATTCATCATAGCCGGTGTAGTGGAAATCTTACAGTTTGCCCTCAAAGTCAGGCATTTATACTGGTATGAAAACTATAAAATATAAAATTGCAGAAGACCAATAGAAACTTTTGCAGTTCAATTGCAGGCAAGTGGATTTTAATAATGACCAGCTAACTGAAGACATGAACAAACAAGTGGATCAAAGCAGCTAACGCTCTGTTTTTTCAATCAATCTGGTCAAACACTCTTTCCAATCTGAAACCGTCTCTCCTCCATTGACAACCTAATTTTCACACAGTAAAGTTGTAGATATCAATAACTAATTGAAACCAAAGAATGGAAAGGAATATAAGACAAAGGGCAAAGAGAAGACAAAAGAGGGAAAAAAGGTGCTTTGAAACTGAAATGTTTGTGCATGAATGTTTTATTTATTTGTTCCATTGCTTTTCTTGCATTGCCTTTTGAACGGTTCCACTTCACCTTGTACAAATATTCTTTGTTCCCGTGTCAATTCAGACATCATTCTGTTGATAACTATTCTTTTGGTTCTAATGAGTATATTTGTTTTCAAGTAATTTTTAAACCTTGGAATAATAGCAGTATATGACATATACTCATCCTATTCTTAACTCAAATTTAAATAACATAAACTTAAGGTATTCTACAAAAGAAAGTTAGATTTTCGGCATTTGAAAGGGCATCTTGTAGATGAATGACAAAGGATAAATTCGCACCACTAATCGCTATAGAATACCAAGATAAATAGTAGTGGGATGAAAAACGACAGTCACCTTGAATAAAAGGATGAAAAATGACAGTCGCCTTGAAATTTTAACTAGAAAATAGCAGTGGGATGAATTATACAGAGAATAATTAGATATTGCATGTGTACTTTTTTCCCTTAATAGATGTAGACATGATTATTCACAGACCTCAAATGTGAATCTTGCTTCTGGAACTACTTCAAGCGCTTCCACACATACCGATGCAGCATCCTCCATGCTGAGGCTTCCACTTGCTGCACAACCCTGACGATGGGGCATTTGTAGGAATTGTTAGAATCTATTATAACGAATAAGGTTGCTTTTCACGCTCTCAAAGTCGGCGAACATATTTATCCCAGTTAACTGCAACAAGACTAAGGAGGATCACCATAATGTAAGTATCCTGCTTGGTCTATTAAAAGAATAAAATGATATACCTCTTCAAAGTTGAAACCTTGTGTTCCACCAGGAGTGCTTTGCAACTTTCCTGCTCTAATTATGGAATATGGAATTCGTGAATCTATCAGTGCTGATTCATCTTCCTCAGCTAACTTCCTTTGATTGCTTGTCATGATAGCTTGAATGCCACTGCTAGCTCTATAAGCAGACAACTGCAACCTTTGTAAACCACAATCACGTAGAAACAGTCTAAAGCCTTTCTTTTGCATATCAGGGAAGAGGGAGAGCCAGAGAGAGTACCTGAGACAAGAGAACTATATGTTCAACACCTTTAAAGCTCTCCACACTTGATAAGAAACCTTCCTGCAAGACAAGACAAGACAAAATTTACTAAATTTCAATGGCGGCCAGAGCAAAACTAGCAATGTCAAAGCATTAGAACCGAATGGATACACAGTCAAAAACGACTTTGCAATAATATGTTTTCATTATCTTAGGAAAATAATGATCTTTATTTTGTTTAAATTTCATTACATTTTCCCACGAATTTCAGACCGAGTTTCACGTTGAAACACATTAAATCTTCAAGTTTAACTTTTTCACTACCACATTGATTCTCCAGTTATCCTTCATGTTTTTTGTTCCTTTTTTTAAGATCCTAATAACTATTGATGATTATCCAAAAAAAATAAACTATGGATGCACGTGGCATTTAGAATTCTACCGGAAAGTATGCATAATCTGGCTATAGATAGTAGATACATGAATATGCTGATTTAGCAGGAATTCACATACATTTGGGCATATGATTGCACGAACTCCTCGAAGAGCTTTCTTTATGAGTATCTGGTCACTTGTATCTCCGGATATTGACTGCAGACAAAGCAAAACCACATTCATATATAAGAAAAAATAATTATTTAAATAAGCCGATGCCATGAATCATATATATAAAGGCCCTTCTAGAGGCTACTTCATTTAGGATATATGATGTTACCTCAACATACGTTCCAAAGGCTTCGTTAGCTGAACGCTTATCCTTCACTAATGCTTTCACTTTAATTCGTTTGACAATCAATGACAATATCACCATCTACACAGAAAAAATATTTACAATAAGCTCAATTGGCGCAACCAGTAGGAATTCAAGATACTAGAAGAAAAAAATCCAGGCACAACAATACATTTTCATGCTATATTAAGTGGTTTGAATCTCAATATCTATGATATGGAATACGATATATATAAGAAAAGATAACTTGCCTGGCCAATTTCACTATCCCCGTCTGTTACTAAAACTGCATCCCTGACTTCATCCTCTGAAAATTTAAAGAATAATAGTTCATCAATGGTTCTTCCTGTCCAAGAGCTAAACACACTGATATTATCTTTCCAGTTTCCATAACAAATTACCTGGATAATCCGCCCCCTCCTGATCTTCCACGACTGATCCATCTTTTGGCAGCAGTTCAGGTGCTCCATACCATCTTCTTAACTTAGGACCCCCTGCAAACCAATACGAGATCCCAAATAAATCAGTATCGTAAAAGCGTGTATCTAGTCTAAAGCACATCGTGGAAATACGAACACTCAAAAAACCTTCAATATAATCGAGAATTTGATCCGTGAATCCGATTTTCTTCTTGGCCGAGCAACGAATAAGAGATCGCTTCCCGATGTTTATGAGGAAAGAAGAATTCAGGGCTCTCCATGGATTCTGGGAACCGAAAACTAGATAAGTTTTGCAGTGGAGAGTCGAAGAAGACAGAGTACCCGCCATTTTCTTTTGCTGGTTTCGATCTTTTTTTATTGACCAGTCGTTAGATGGATAAGCGATATCAACAATATCTCGAATCTCGATAATTGAAATGCCTTGTATATCCCTAGTGAAGTCAAAATTTCAATCAGAACCGTTGAAAGTCTGAAATTTGAGATCTTTACCGACCAATATTCCTATCATATAACCCACATCAAGTTAATGTTGAAACATAACTTTTGACATTAAAGCCATTTATCGAATTTGAATCTTTAAAGAATATCAATAATTTATTTATTATAAAATTCATTTAATCTTTTGATATTAAAACACCGTATGCATTTATTAGTTTTCTCAACTAATAAATAAAAGGACTTCACTATATAAAATCCTATACAGCAGAATGAATTCAAAACCAAAGTATGAAAGCAAATCACTTAAACACGTAACAAATTCAGCAGATCTCTTAAAAAATAACACAAATACTCTACAGGTCTCAACCACAAAATCAAAAGAAAAAACTCAAGATCCCACCTCAGGTAGACATCATCATTTGCTTCCCCTCTCCCAAGACGCTTACCCTTGCTTGACTCTTAATTTGACCACTTCCCTGATCTGGTTGAATAACTCACCAGCTGATCTCGTTCGGTTTTGGAACAATATGCAATTCCTTTCCCTCCAAATCAAGGAGATGCAACCGTCCCATTCTAGCATCATCACGTATGACACCGAAGACTTACCCTTCAGGTTGTAGCTGACCCAATTCAACTCTCAACTCCAGCTCCAGCTCCAGCTCCAGCTCATGACACCTTTATGCAGTCGACAAGCCTTCAACACCATTCCCAAGCCTACCTAGAAAACTCACAATTGAAGAACAAGTGCTCATGAGTCTCCAGCTCCCCTCCTACAGAAAACACACAGACCATCCAAAAGCAAACCAAAGTCAATAAGCCTACTCTTAGTAGGTAACCTACCAAGCATTGCCATTCAAGCGAAACAAAATTCTTTGGGATATGCCCCGGATGCCACATCAACTTTTCACAAGGGACTTCCCCCCTCCTCGAAGTATGATCTCATTCTGAACTATCCTAATCGAGGAAAAAGAATCCCCGGTCAGCCTTTGAATAACCGCAGTCTTTTTCCTAAGATGTATCAAACTCCTCCAAATCCAACTACACCCTTGGGGTCCTAACTTACAAAAATGAGTTGTTCTTAATAACAAAAGTGTAAATCCAAACAATCCATGCTGATCCATCCTTAAGAAGCAACTTCCTAATCAAGGAAACAAAACAAGCATGGTTCCAACTCGATAGGTCTCTAAGACCAAGCCCCTCCGACTTAGGAAAACAAATGCTAGTCCAACTAACCCTCGCCCCTTTAACAAGTTTATCCTCGCCCTTCTAAAAGAACTGAGAGCACGACGGATTGACTTTTTTAATCACTGCCGCGGGAAGGAGGAGTTGCCTACTCCAAAAATCTTGAATACTATATATAGATTACCAATTGAATCAGCTGCAATCTTCTTACATAAGAAAGACACCTAGCTTTCCAACTTTGCAACCTAGCAGAAATTGAGTTAATAAGAGGGCCACAATCCCTCACAGTAAGCCTCCTAGAAATCAGAGGTATACTAAGGTATAACACAGTCAGTCTCCCCATCTTAAGCCCAGTAGCTTCAATAATGCATTACAAGGTCTCATTGCTCACTTCTGAAGAAAAAACTTCAAATTTAGTCGAGTTCATATGCAACCCCAAAAACTTTAAAAAAAAAACCCATGACATTTCACACACCCAAAACTGAATCACATTTGCTCTTTGTGAACACGATCAGGTCATCGACAAAATATAAGTTTGTGAGACTGATCTTGTGACACTTTGGGAGGTAGATAAGCACTCCACACTCGATCGTTTTATCTAACAATTTAGAGAGAACGTTCATGGTGAGGACAAATAAATAAATAGAGGGGATCTCCTTGTCTCATCCCATTTGGCCCCCTAAAGAACCCCACCGACCCTCCATTTAAGGAGAGGAAAAAATTTGGAGCTGTAACACACTCCCTAATCTAGTCGATCATCACTTGAGGCATGTCCAACACTTGCAAAACAATAAGAAGGAATCCTCAATCAATGGAATCGAAAGTTTTATGTAAGTCAGTTTTCAAAGTGCGTCTAGGAGACATGGAGGTCTTACCATACCTCTGAACCAATTCCTAATCCGTAAAAGTGTTGTCGACTATAGATCTCCCAGAAACAAAAGTACTCTAGCTAATGTATATAATCCTCGAGAGAAAAGGCTTGAGACGTCGAACAATGATCCGAGTAATGCACTTATAAATTATCGAACAACAAGTGATAGGTCGAAAATCTCTCATATGATTAGAATTTAATACCTTAAGAATCAACACCAAATTGTGACATTGAACTGGCAGCATCCTAGAATGATTAAAGAACCATCTAAGTATCTAACAGCACTTATTGATATTTTTAAATTTGATCAATAATTAAAAGTAGTATTAATCTAATCTTTTATGAAATATAACGGCTCACTGTGCTTCAACGGATTAAACAAACCTTTGAAACATAATATGTATGATTTATATATCGATTCAATTTTTGAACGAACGAATGAATTAAGACTAAAACACTCATTGCGACTAAAATACACCAAAGGCTATTGTAAATAATTAAAAGTATTATGTTACATAAATAAATTCGCTATCTATTATTTAAAAAAATATTATTCTTTCCCTGTCAGCTACTGAGAACTTGATATCGAGTTTCACTCTGTTCCGGCGAGTCATTCATTCAACAACTTTCCCCCCTTTATTTCCCATCAGTTCCATATGGATTATAAATTCAATTTCACGTGTTTCAAAACGTCGTCTTTTTGCTTGTTTGCACTACCAATTTCAATGTTTCTATTCCCAACTAGCTTTTAATCGGGTATGACCAACAATCAGTGTATAGAATCGAATTACTTTGATTTACTTTTTGAGATATTGAAAAGAAAAAGGATTATAGAATCGAATTACTTTTCTTTCAATGTGAACTGGTTTTGCATGATTGTGTTAGAATTTAGCCATTTACTCTTGTTCACAGTCTATCTAAATCAATAATTAACACTCTTGGAATCTGAATCCGTGCCCTTGAAATAAGGAGAAAAGATGGGGATTATTGAGAGGATTAAAGAAATTGAAGCCGAGATGGCTCCAACCCAGAAAAATAAGGCCACGGGTATATGCTTATATCTTCTTCAATTCCATAAGAGCTTGTATATTTTACCTTTTACATCATTTCAAAACCTTTTTATTCGTTATATTTGATAATTTAAAACCTTTTATATTTGATAATTTTTTATCTTATGGAAAACAACTGTTGTTTTATTAATATTTACTGAATACACAGAGTACCATCTTGGTCAGCTCAAGGCAAAGATTGCAAAGCTAAGGACACAATTACTAGAGCCTCCAAAAGTATGGATATTTCTTATCTTAACATGAATATGTTCCACTGGCTTTTATATGCATATTGTCCGACACTTATTTGAATTTTCTCGAAATTCTTCTTTGCCACATTTTAATGTACGCATGATCGTGTTACAATCAATCTTTATGTTCTTTTAACAATTCAAAGTCTTGAATGAACTATCAGTTTCCTGTCATTTGTTTCCCGCTTTCTAGGTGGGTTGATTTCTTTTTACTTTAACTCTTTCCATATCTAACATGCCCTAATTATTTTTCCTCTTTTCTTTCTGGTGAGGCTAGACATTTGATATGATATATTCTAAGTGATCTAAGTGATTATGTTGTTTGTTGCCTGGCTGGTATAACCTATTATAATTGCAGTAGTTTTTCTTTATACTTATCATGCGATATCCTTTCTCTTTTTCCTCCCCTTCCTCCCCCCCCCCTCCAAATTAAACTGCTTTTTGAATCTTAATATCTGGGTTCTAGTGGAGGTGGAGACGGTTTTGAAGTTTCAAAATTTGATCATGGACTCGTTGCACTAATAGGATTTCCAAGGTTTGTACCTTTTGCATTTGAATGCACTTGTCCTATTTTTTTTAAATAAGTTATTAAGAACTATTGGCTGCTCATATGTTCGCAAAAATAGAACTCAAGTCTTCAGTAAGTTGATTTTGGCTTTATCTCACTTAATATAAATAATATATTGATGATATCACTCTACTGCCAGTACCTTCATTTCCATCCTTCTCTAGCCTACTCACTCCGTCTTCTTGCACAACCACAATTGTGTAAGAAAATATATTTTGTGCTTTCAATGCAAACATGCATTTGTAAGGGTAAATAGTTAACAGACATGGATTTATACTCTGTGTTTAAATTGTTCTTTGAGAGTGGAGCTGACTACTGCATTGTAATGCAATGCAATGTGGAGAAATCAACCCTTTAAACCATGTTAACTGGAACTCATTCAGAAGCTGCATCTTATGAATTTACACCACTTACATGCATTCCTGGTATCATACATTACAATGATACTAAGATTCAACTTCTCGATCTTCCTGGAATTATTGAAGGTGCTTCTGAAGAAAAAGGACGTGGGAGGCAGGTAAAATTTTGCAGCTTCTAATTTTACCCTATGAACATCTCTTGGTATAAACTTGTCGTATCCAGATGAGGTAACTGATAAAACTTTTATTGAATATTGTTTGATTAAAATGCATATTGTGTTTCTTGGCATGTATCATGTGGAAAAAGATAATATAATGTCTTTCTTTTTTTTTTCCTTTCTGTTTGTACCTATGATTTGCTCGCTTCATTCTTATACTGAGTTTGGTTGAATAGATTCTCACATTCAAGATTCTTTATGAGACTGTTCATTTCTCAGGTTATTGCTGTTGCCAAGTCCTCAGATCTTGTGCTTATGGTTCTTGATGCCGCTAAAGTAAGTATCTATATCATAATAGTAGTTTTTCCAATTCTAGAATTTTTTAAGAGACTTCTCTTACCTTATGCCTGTGTAATCTGATATGAAAACCCCAGAGCGAGGGTCATCGCCAAATACTAACCAAGGAACTGGAAGTTGTGGGTTTGCGTTTAAACAAGAGACCACCTCAAGTAAGTTTGTTGCTAATGTTGGATACATTAGACATCGATATATTTTAAAATACTGCATTGTTGTTTGCCTAAAGAAAAATGAATATTTTTCATATCATAATGGCTTAACATGAACTAGTTCAATTTGTATGAAAATTCTGATGGATTTTTTTATACTGCTTTCTCCTTCATTTTGGGTTTTCTTTTGCAGATATATTTTAAAAAGAAAAAAACTGGGGGAATCACTTTCAATAGTACGTTACCTTTAACTCATGTGGACGAGAAACTCTGTTATCAAATTCTGCATGAGTACAAAATTCACAATGCAGAGGTATGCAGTCTTGTAATGATTAAACTTCACATTTGTTTTATTCATTCTTTCAAATGGTGTTTTCTTACTTATTCTGAGGTATTCCTGATGGATTCTTTTCAGGTTCTATTTCGTGAGGATGCCACAGTGGATGACCTTATAGATGTCATTGAAGGAAACCGCAAATACATTAATTGTGTGTATGTTTACAACAAGATAGATGTCATCGGTATTGATGATGTGGATAAGTTAGCCTGGCAACCTCATTCTGTCGTGATAAGCTGCAATCTGAAGGCATGTCCTATCTTATTTAAAAATGTTAATGGCTTCTGGAAATAGTGAATAATATGGAATGGAGGTTAAGGAGTATGCCAATAGTTTTAAAATGGAAGCATCTTTAGTGACATGATCAGAACACAATGACATTTGATACTACGCCTGCTTCGTTTTTTCATGTTTTAATGAAGTTCATTGTTCATTCCCTGTTAGAAAGGAAAGTAAAATGCCGTCTACCATACGTCAAAAAAATTGCGTCAAAGAAAACCTGGTAGTTCATTGGGGAAAACTGGATGTGAAAAAGGAAACTTAACAAGGAGAATTTTTGGCTGTGTTTTTTTATGTAACCTTCATTTAAGATTGCCAATTCCCTAAACACTAAAATCTATGTCACAATCCAGGGCAACCTGTAGCACCAGAATCATTGTACTTAAGCTCGTATCAAGATTACCCACCTGGGAATTCATGTTCAGAGAATATGGTAAAGCATTATTTCAATGCCTTGAGAAGCAAGGGATTCGGTAAGTAAATGAAACATCCATGTGAAAGAACACAAATTACAAATCTTTGGCAGGGTGAACCTGATGGTTTCTTTGGAACAATGTTCTGCCCCTACTGGTCTTGCAACCAAACCCCACCTAGAATCTGGCTGACTTTCACACAAGGAATTAAAGCCCTCGTTGTCAAACTCACATTGTTACTATGAGCAGGTTGGAAGATCCTCGACGTGTGTTCCAAAGCGTTAAATAGATTATAGAGGTAGATTGAATACAAAGAAATGATCCAAAAAACTATAAATCTCAAGTATATCCTTTCACTGAAGCTTCCTTAAGCAAATTGCCAGAACCGTCGTAGCAAATAGAAGTCAACATTGAAAAGGGGGTGGTGATGCTGGTGGGCTGCTTTTGTTTGTCTTTTTTAATTCATTATTTTGTTATGGGCAGAACAGTCTTTACCTGTCTTTTTTAGTTCATCATTTTGTTTGGATAGGAATAAAGTATTTCCTGGTATGTCATCTTCCTAGAGTTGCCACCCTTTGTGAGTTCATGATACTGGGACCCATCACACCACCAAAGCTGAGCCCCACGGTGGCCTAGATGATGGCCGAATCCTTTGACCTTCAGCTACCAAACAAATCCTCATGACAGCCTTGTGACCCTACCCGACGCGTTAATTTATGTACATATGAAATGAAGAAATTTGCAATGCTCCCCACATGCAAGAGGGAGAGAGATGAAGATTGGATATTTTTCTTCTTTTATTTTAACCCCGATCTTACCTGCTTCACGTGGCTATTTTATATGACGGGGACAAATTGCGTGGCACCCTGCTAAAAAAAACCCAGAATGGGGTATAGGAGAAACAAATGGCAAAGATGAATTCATCTTCTTTCCTCGTTTCATCTTGAATCAAACATGGTCACAGATGCAGTTGCTGAAATTTAAGGTTCAATGTTCGACATAAAAGAAATGAAACATACTAAAACCTCTTATTAGCACAAACTTGACAACGGATTGGCCAATTCCTGAGCAGTAAACAAGAAAAACAAAAGGCAAAGGCGAGATATAAACAGCTGAACATTCGTCCATAAAAATGAAAAGAAGTAATGTTAGAGATAACACAATTGATAAAGCGGCTGTCCTGTCGCCCGACGCCTCATTTACAGAAGAAAAAAATCACCAAGTAGAGCACGCTTGCTCAGAACAGACCAGCAGTCATGTAAGGGAAGTCATCAAAGCTCCAAATATCCATTGGGTATGCACCATCCTGAGTTGCATCTCCATTGAGAAAGGCGTCAATGGAAGCATCCCAGCTTCCTTCAATGAATGTCATCTGATCATCTAAAGCCAATAGCCCATCAGACAAACTCTTCCCAGAATTCTCTTCAGTAGGCATAATGTTGTCAGAACTTGGTTTCAACTTCTTCTGAGGGTTTGCATCCTCCAGAAACTCATCGCCTTCTATAGAAGCTTCAAGAACAGACAATATTTGGGGAGTCTTTGCACCATGTTCTCCCCAGTCAAAGCCAGAAGAGTCAAAGGAGTTTCTTCCATCGTCCAAATTGAGATACAAGGGAGAGATGTCAGATTGAGCAAAAGGTTTAGATCCAACATCTACAGCAGAAGGAACAGGGTCCACGTATGCAAATGGATCGATCGGTGCCTTCTCTTCTACGAAATCCATGATATCATAGTAGTTCTGCTCTGGTTTGTTCAAGCAATTGAAATTCTGGTGGATATTTGGTTCAACACGGCTCAAATTTGACATGAGAAGTGGCTTCTCATCAATTGTCTTACTCGCATGCTTTGGAGAGGCGCGCGAAATCTTATCAGGGAAGTTCACCTTTGCTTTCTTACCCCGAATTCTTGTTGCCTCAGCATCATAAGCTCTAGCAGCTTCTTCGGCCGTATTGAAAGTACCTAGCCAGACCCTTACCCCTTTCCATGGGTCTCGGATCTCAGCAGCCCATTTACCCCATGGACGTTGTCGAATTCCTCGATATTGGTTCTTCCTCTTTCTTTTTGCACATTTCTCGGCCTGACCTTTGGATTGAACAATTTTTACAGGGTTCGGACCTTCATAATCAAAAACAAAAACTTATTAATACTCTACAAATTCATTGATCTTATGAAACCAATGTTATAGTTAACGAAAACCTATAAAAAAAATTAAATAAATTTCACCAGGAAGCAGAATTCAGGACCTTCAAGTGCAATAAAACCATGAGAAGAACACGGTAATCAACATTATACTCAAAAGTCAAAAGTACTGGTTAAGGTATGACTTATCAAACTAAATTTCCTAAAAATTAATTAAAGGTAAAGACTTTGGTTTCTCTGCTCGGAAACAATAATCATAATTTTAATCCATATTAAGATTTCAAAACCAGTTTGACGCGAGGGGAATAAAAATCTAAGAAGCGCACAAATAAGTCAGACTGAAACAATAATCACTCTCAAGAGACACTACAAAATCAGTTGATTTGAGCAGGTAGAAAAGCCACACTTCTTGCAGATCTTTATTTATTTGAGCAGTAAAAGGCAAAATAGAAAGGAAAATGTTTTAGACATTGATAGAGACAATCTATCAACAGCTGAAAAAAGAATAACAGAAAATTTCTGCGCATAAAAAAGTTAAACCTTTTGATAGAATTATAAAATTTTAACAAAACATATTAACCAATGTATTCATAAGGCATACTCCAATTAAATAATCACCAGATAAGCTACGAAAACTCGATAACAATAAATCTTTAGCTACAATCCAAGATAATACAAAATTCAATTTTTTCCAACAGTAAGGAGTTAAACAAAAAAAACGAAATTTGAAAGAGAAATGAAAAGGAAAACTAATAACTCAATATTATAGTTATTATTTACCACGATAGACGGTCGACGATGCTTTCTTTGAGGCAGAGAAAGCAAAAGGCTTGATATCAACCAAAACATCATCGACATCATAGTTATCGATGTCAGATTCCTCATCCTTGAATTCCTCGAAGTCAGCCTCAAAATCATCAGCGAAATGGAACACCGGCTTCGAGTACCTTTTACCCGACCCCTTTTTGGGTTCCCATTTTTTCAGATCGGGCCACAAGAAGTCAGCCGTTAGCCGCCGCGACCGCGTCGGAGCAATAAAACCAGAGATAATAGCTCCCCCACACATGATGATTCGATTGGTGATTTGGTCAGAGATTTAAGTAAGAAACAAGTAGAATAGCGGCTCTTCGTTTTTGGTTTGTTGGTAGTGATGAATGCTTGCTTCTGAATGGGTTTATAGGAGTGATCAAGGCATGCTGGGGGGAGTTTTATATCATTTCGAGGGAGGTGATTTTACATTCATGTCCACGAAAAATACAAATATATGTTAATTTATTTTATTAAAAATAAAATAACTTTCACATAAAAATGTTGGTTAAATTCCATTAAAAGTTGTATTATATCTAAAAGTTCTATTTAATCTCACTATTATCAAAAAGAACATTTCATTCCTTGTACTATCTAAAAGTTCATTTTAGTCTCTAGAATAAAAGAAATTTTGGTCTTTACATGTTTTAAAATTTAACATTTTAATCCAAAATGTTAAATTTATCTTTTAGGGTGCGTTTGGTTCACGGAATGGAAGATTATCAGTGGGAATGTAAGATTATCAGGGAATAGGATTACTAGAAATATTGTATTTTGTGTTTGGTTGACTTAGCATGAATGTAAGATTACCATGTTTGGTTAAAGGAATAAAAGATTATTGGAATGTATATTTGACCAAATTGTCCTTATTATATATTTGTTTTTTTAACAAGTTGGAAAATATTTATATATTTTCTTTAAAAAAAATTAAATTCATAAAATTTATATAATTTTTTTTTACAAAATTGAAAATATAAAAATGTTTAATGAAAGGGTAAAATTTTATTTTAACCCCTAAACTTCATATAAAATTTTAATTATAGATTTTTTGTTGTAAATCTAAAATAGTTTAAGGGTAAAATTTTATTTTAACCCCTGAACTTTATATAAAATTTTAATTTTAGATTTTTTTTTTGTAAATCTAAAATAGTTAAAGGATAAATTTGTAATTTAACATTCGTAGAATTTTTATTATTCAATGACAAAAAAATTATATTTAAAAAAAATTTAAGGGCATTTTAGTCCAAAACGTCGGGAATTCAACAATACCTAAGGAAATGGAGGTAATCCCACATTCCCCCGTTTGGTTAGCCCGGGAATCTCATTCCCGGTAATGTAAGATTACCAATAGTGGATTTTTTGGGGTATATTACCGGGAATGTCATTACCTCCATTTCCTTAGGTATTGTTGGATTATCTGCGTTTTGGACTAAAATGCCCTTAATTTTTTTTTAAATATCATTTTTTTGTCATTGAATAATAAAAAATCTACGAATGTTAAATTACAAATTTATCCTTAAACTATTTTAGATTTATAAAAAAATCTATAATTAAAATTTTATATGAAGTTCAGGGGTTAAAATAAAATTTTACCCTTTCATTAAACCTTTTTATATTTTCAATTTTGTAAAAAAATTATATAAATTTTATGAATTTAAATTTTTTAAAGAAATTATATAAATATTTTGCAACTTGTTAAAAAAATAAATATATAATAAGTACAATTTGGTCAAATATACATTCCAATAATCTTTTATTCCTTTAACCAAACATGGTAATCTTACATTCCTACTAAGCCAACCAAACACAAAATACAACATTCACAGTAATCATATTCCCTGGTAATCTTACATTCCCACTGGTAATCTTTCATTCCGTGAACCAAACGCACCCTTATGATGAACGCTATCCCTCAGTGGTAAAAAAATAATAATAATAAATTGTTTCTTATCTTGCAAGATTTGCTATATTTGTCATAAACCATTTTAAAGGAAAATGTATTATAAATTAACTAATATGGAAAATGAACTATTTTTTATTTTTCATTTATATTATAAATATTGTTTAACAACCAACAATAAGTTGATCTAGTAGAATGAGATATTAGGTTTATTAAATAAGGTTAAACGTTAAAATCCTATTGTTTGTGAATAGAGCAAATTGAGTTGAAGCCTCCTTCATCAGTCGCCTATATAATACCTGATTTAAATTAGTTGGTTAATAAATCGAATACCAGTGATTAATTAAAAAAGTATTGCTCGACAAGTGTTAGGACTGCACCAATTATATTTAGTCGACA